ACCCAGCTGTGCTTCGTGGATACGGTCTTTGCAGTTGCGACCGGCGGTCGCGTCGATCAGACGCTACTCACGTCCGTGGCATCTGCACAAGTGCGATTCGAGGGGCTGGATGAGACGGTATGTATGGAGGAACTCGGCCGCCTTTCTTTATACCCTCTCAATCGTACTCACGCCCACCACTGCGATTAGTCAAAGTTGCGCCTGCAAGCAACGGCGCTGCTTGCGGAGAGCGTGCTGCCGGCGCCTCAAGACGCGCCTACGATGCTGGCGCGCTTCAATGCGCTCGAAGTGATGATCGGAAATCTGTCAATCTCGGCACATCATCATTGGCGCATGTCATCACTACCTGACCAGGTTGAAGCCAGTATGATGGCTTTCATCATGCTGCAGGCGTGAGTCGCTCTGCATGCCCGAATGACCCCGCACTGATGCCAGCCTGCGCCCTCAGTGCGTGCATCCATCTGCATCGGTTGACTTTTTTACCGACCCTCGACATCGATCTCAACTCGTGCTCCTTTAGTGTACGGCCCCAGCAGTCGCGAGACGCCATTGACGCTCCGACGTCTGGAGCCATACGGGCGATCGAAAAGGTGCGTGGCACGGACGAGGCCTCTTCGCGGCCTTCTGTGGATGCGATTGAACTTCCTTGCGATGTCACAGTGCGCAGACGCTATTATGGACGTCCTCAAAAGCGACTCCGAGCAGCGTCGCCCGGCAAACACCCGCAACGCGGCGTCGAGCACGCCGCTTTTGGGCCATTCACCGTTTCTGGCCTGCTCGCAGGTAGCCGCTGCTTTTGGGTACGCGGTCGTCGCAGCGAGTGTCAAGGCCGATTTGGCCATCCATGACGGTGGAACAATACAGGAATTGCAGATCATCTCCTTTGCTCCGCTCGGAAGCAGCGATGCAGCCCCGAATGCGACTGGCCAGCAAGCATTGTGGCGCTACCGAGCGACGCTCTCCAACCTCTCAGCTGCTATGGACAACCTCGCTGCCGTTGCGCCCTTGTGGCCGATCGCTGATCGACTCGCAAAGGAGGTTAAGTCATGCAGAGGTCTTGTTGCCCATGTCGGTCCGCTAGGCTTCTAGCGTTGGAGGAGCGAGTATGATCTTTACAAAGGAATCGATCTTAGATCCAACGTGCCGTCGTCCCTCTCGACAGGTAGGTCCTTGATGACTTTTCCTCTCTCAGAGGCGTCTCTTTTCCTGTGGAGCTCCTCCCAGCCCTTCATGCCTCCGACGAGCACGGCCAGACATTCGTACACCGTCGCCTTTTCGGCGCCCTGTAGGACCGCTTTGGCCAGCATGTCCGCGTACCAGCTGGCGACGAGCGGGCCGCGAGACGTGGGCGATGCGCAGCTGTTGCAGTGGAAGCTCATGAGCGGTACCTGGTGCAGCAGGCGCACGAGCGTGCAGCTGGAGAGCGCGAATGAGTGGGCAGGAAGGTTGATCGCTCCCGGAATCATGCTCTGCAACCACACAATGGCACATATGTCAGATACCAGTACGGATGAAGGCCGCGTCGGCTTTGTCCTCACCTCGCAATCTGCGCGCCGCGCATCGACCACCACAAAGCTCGACACTCTTTGGATCGTAGCCGTCGAGCTTGATCGTTTCACTCTCTTGGTTCGTCCGCTCGCCCAGCTCTTCGGCGCTGACCTTCTACAATGGCTGGGCGCTGCGGTCTTGAGGCGCAAAATATGCATTTTGCCAGCCCTTTTCGTTGATTGGGTGCGCAGCGCCAGACATCTTGGATAGTTGCCTTCAATAGCCTTGGACGCTTGCGAGCGGGATTAGATCAAGATGTCAAGGGCCGGAGGGGATGTGCTTCAGTATGGTATGTTACCGCTACTTGGTGGTCTGCTGCAGCTCTACGACCAGCCATACTGTTCGTCTTCCTTCTACCTCTTTCTTTTTCCGTTTTCAAATTCCTCAGTCTCAAGCTGTCGCTTCACGTGTCGATGGGTTGCTCAAAGCATGATGAGAGCTGTTGCGATGTGATGCATACTGTACAAGTGCTCGGAGATTGAACAGAGTAGACGTGCCCCCCAAAGGCGAGCATGTGTTCGAAACGGCCTAGGAGGGGAGGGCGTTCTTGAACGGCTCACGCTGCCGGCCCGGCGGCTGCGATGCTGATAATACTCATGGGCTGCTGCCTCTGATACTGGTGATGCGGGCGCTGCAGCTGCCGCCTGCGCGCTTGCCGCCTCGGCTCCGGCGCTTGCTGGTTGCGCCGCCGTCGACGAGGCCCTCGCGCTGCGTGAAGGCCTGTTCTTCTTGCACGACACTGCGGCAGCCTTCTGCGTCTTTGCCTGCGCGAGGCGCTCCTGCTCGAACGTTTGGACGAGGCCGAGCTGCTCCATCTGCAGCCGCAAACTGGCGACGGACGCCATCTCGCTGGGGGGCTTCCTGCCAAAGACGCCGATCGCGTCGTCGCCCATGCAGCGAACGTACTTGCCCAGCCCGACGGCCTTGTTGATACAGCGCATCCCCTGGTCATGATCTTCATCTGGATGACTCTGCCGAGAATGCACGACTCGATGCGCTTACGCTGCACGTTTAGCTCCAAGGTCCGTGCCGTCTTTTGCAGGCTCTTGGGCACGTTGTGCCCGTTCTGCAGCTGCGCCAGGTGGTAGAGGCCCGTCTACGGGCGCTTGAATACTTGCCCGGACGCGATGGCCTGTCGCAGCGTACTGCGCGACTTGGGCGAGGAGCACGCTGCCATCTTGGACGATGAGCCCGACCCAGAGCTGAGCGCGCCGCGGTACGTCGTCCGCGAGAAGCGCGCCAGCGTGAGAATCATCTTAAGCGGGCTTGCCTGCAGCTAGCTTTCCGAAAACTTTAGGCTGGGAGATTGGGGAAGAGTTTCGCGATGATCTGCGATGTCCCTCCTGCGTGTAGCCGCTCTATTGCGGAACTGACGTGCAGATGCAGCTGCTGGAAATAGTG